GGATGGATGGATGGATGGATGGATGGATGGATGGATGGATGGATGGATGGATGGATGGGGTCAGGGGCATCCATAGGGCTGTCAAAAAAATCCAAGTTGGTGAGCACAAACATGCAATTAAAGATTCACCCTTGTTATGTATGTGTAACATATGCAACACATATTTAAAATGTGTGAGGTTTCAATTGTGCAGTTGTGACCACCATATTGCCTTTTTTTTTACCTCTGTTGCACAAACATTCCTTAATAGAGTAGAAACAGACCTATCCACAGACCTATCCCTATCCAGTTTGGGTGGTCCTGATACATTCTGATTGACATTTCAATGCATCGCACTCATTTTTAGAGCACTACCATCAATAAGTTGCCAAAGGTTACATCCACACCCACATATACACACATATACATTGAAAGTTAAATCAGTTAAGTGGTCATAGTAACCTACCCAAAGCCAATTAGAACTTAGGACAGTTTTTAAGAGTGACATTAATTAATTAAATCATTAACTAAAACATAAATTGTACTTGGGTATATATAATACAAGCAGAGTCAGGAGACTCAGACTCTATTTGTGTTATTAATGAAACTACATTGGGGAAAATTAGGGTGTAGGCCAAGTCTTTCCTCTCATCAAGTACATTGGACAGCTTCATGGAACATCTACAAAGCTTAGGATGCTTCCAGCTGGAAATCCTGAAGTCAGGAGCCAAACCCTCCATTGGCCAAGCATTTAGTGAACACATCATCTCTGCCTCCTACATTTATTAACTGATCCCAGTCTGAACTTAGGAAGAGATCTCTGAGATTCCCACTGTAGATGAGTAGGGGACGGCCAACATCAGCCTCCAAATATTCTCCTCTACTTCTCTTGGTCAGAGAAAGGGTCAGATATGTTGTATCAGAATAACAAAGCTCCAGATGAATATCCATCAAGAGATTTTATGCAAAATGCTTGCTAAGGCCAAGTTATATTTCTGTTGTGCCTCTTTCTCGCAATATCTTCTGAAAGAAATGGGTAGAGTGCCATGATTTGGTCTAACATTTCCCCATCCCCAATATATCCAATTAATTGATTCAAATAGGGGAAAATATTACTCCATGCTATTACACAGCACCTGCCAACATTTTACAAAGCCTGTTTCTAGATCTGGGCAGCCATGTATCCCCTTTAATGTCTAACTGGGCCCTTAGTTATTTTTAACAGATATAATTTGGAGGGGAAAAAACCTCTCCAAACTCTTAAACATTATGTTTGTCTAGATTACATAGTTGTACCCCTGTTCATTTGGACTAAATCCATTGAAAGCTGCCTGTATGCCCTTAACTACATCTATTATTACAGTGAGAACCCACAAATTATTGAAAATAGTGCCATGTCTTTTGCAAAGTGGTGAGAAAATGGCACCCACGAGCTAAGCTGAATCACAGGGCAAAGGATGCCAGAATCCAACTACTGAGAAAATCATGGGCTCAGCTCTAAAAACTCTCTTTGACTTGGTCCACAAAGTAATGATTTTTTTCCTCTCAGCATGTCTTCATATCTCTGGCACAGACATGCCCAGGAACATCATATGTACTGTAGGTATGTGTGTGTGTGTGTGTGTGCACATCTCTCTCTCTCTCTCTCTCAATTATGCAGGAGAAATTTCAACATCCTTATCTAGATTTCAGCCACAATAGTCCACCTTTTAGAAAATGTTACACCAGTGATTGACCTGCAGTGCCAGTCAAGAGGACTATAGGAAAATGCGCATGTTTCTGCTGTGGCGGTAAAAGCTATAAACAAATGTCTTTTAAGTATTTAAAGCTTGTAGCTGTTCCCCTTTACATATATTAAATCTTTTACTGGCATTCCCTACTTGGCCTGTTTGTCTGCAGTGGCATTTTTGCATTAATTTTAAGTCTGTTGTCTTAGCAAGACTCAATACATTTTATCTCTGCTTTGTGCAGGATGTATTCTCAGCTCAGATTCATTTTCTGTTTCCTTACGCCAATTCCTGAGGGAGTAGAATCTACTGAAAAGCCTCTTCTGTGCCTTAACAGCCTGGAAAGAGGAAATGAGAAGGCTTGAGAATCTGCAGGAGCCAACCTTTCTGTTCTTAGGACACAGACAATTTACTCTATTGATCCAAAGCTTGCTCTTTGTGCCACGCTCAATAAAAATGCCCAGTTGGCTGAGAAGCTGACAAAATGCAGCATTAACCCTTCTTTTATATATTATCAAGTAAGGCATGAAGTTAGCTATTTTTGCCACTGCAATCCTGTTGCAGATTTAAAAATCTTCACAATGGGGCCCTCCACCCAAACATTTTGGTACTAACAACAAAGGTACAAAGCAAAATTGTAACCCCATCAGTCAGGCTACGTAACTCTGTAGAGGTTCGGATTCTGCAAAGCACCCATTCAACTGCCTCAGATGACCGTCCTCTTTAGGCCTCCCCATCTGCAGGAAAGGGCAGGAGTAGAAAGGGCAGAACAGAGAGTGAAACCTCTTCCCTGGGTTTTTTTTTTTTTTGGGTGCCTTCGAGTCAATGTTGACTCCTGGTCATTGCCTGGACAAGTCCCTGCAGTTTTATTTGCAAGATTTCGGAAGTGGTTTGCCACTGCCTGCTTCTTCCTAGGGCTGAGAGAGAATGAATGGCCCAAGGTCATCCAGCTGGCATCATTCATGCCTAAGGCAGGACTTCTGTTTGGAATCATTTCTTTCCTTCATCATGGACTGCAACCTACAATTATTCTAAACTAGATACCTGTTCATTGCTGGGGAGATATTATTGTTGTTGTTGGTCACACAGTCAGCCAGACGTTTAGACTGGACTTGGCATTTTTATCCACCTATTGAGTCTTTCCCAAGGGCCTGGGATAGGCAGATGTTGTTGTTTGATGGTGTCAGAGGCATCATCACAAGATATAAGGTGTTCCAAGTAAAGCTGCCTTTTGCAATCGACTGATGGTGATTTTGTCAATGCCAATGGTCTTCAAGTGGTGCTCCAGATATTTTGGGATTGCACCTAGGGCACTTATAACTATTGGTACTATCTTTGCTTTCTTTTGCCATAGTCGTTCTATTTCTATTTGCAGGTCTTTGTATTTCGTGATTTTCTCCAGTTCTTTCTCTTCTCTTCTACTGTCTCCAGGTATTGCAATGTCCACTAGCCAGACTTTTTTGTCTTTCTTATCAACAGTTGTTAAGTCTGGGGTGTTGTGTGGCAGGTGCTTGTCTGTTTCAATTTTAAAGTCCCAGCACACTTTAGCTTCTTCATTTTCTATTACTTTGTCTGGTTTGTGGTCCCACCAGTTCTTGCTTGCAGGCAAATGGTATTCCCTGCACATATTCCAATGCACTGTTGTTGCTATTTTGTCATGCCATTGTTTGTAGCCAATCTGTGCAATCTTCTTGCAGCTGCTAATTAACAGGAAAGTTGAAGAAAGACAGAGGGACTAATTTTGGCTGCACAAGACCATGTCTTAAGAACAAATATATATAAAGCCAGGATTGAGAAGACAGCAACAAACAGCAAATACCACCTCTGCAAAGAAGTTCAAGAAACAATGTGGCAGGGAGTTGAATGCCTTCTTGTAATCAATCCCAGCTACATTCAAGTTGGTCTTCCTTCTCTTTACAGTTTTCCAAAATCATCTTGTCAATTAGGAGCTGATCTTTTGTCCCTCTGCTATCTGAGCAGTCTCCTTTCTGCTAAGATGGAAAAAGTTGTTTTCAACTAGGAGCTGTTGGGCTGCATCAGCTACCACACCAGTTAGCAATTTGAAAGTTGTTGGCAGGCAGGTAACTGGCCTGTAGTTGCCTGGTGCTGCCCCTTTTGCTGGATCTTTCATTATCAGGTAGGCTTTGCCAGATGTTAACTTCACCATCTTGAAATATGTTGTTAAACTGCTTGGCAATGAGTTGGTGCAGACGCCTGGTGCTGCCCCTTTTGCTGGATCTTTCATTATCAGGTAGGCTTTGCCAGATGTTAACTTCACCATCTTGAAATATGTTGTTAAACTGCTTGGCAATGAGTTGGTGCAGACCAATCAGATGTTTCAACCAAAAACCATGCAGTTCATCTTCACCTGGTGCTGACCAATTCTTGATCTTCCTTGCCCTTTTTTCTTTTTAACTGTCTGGTGTACTTGCAACATTCCACGCCCATCAATG